ACCAAGTTGACTATGTCAACAGCGGACCATCCGCAAACCGATGGTCAAACTGAGCGCGGGAATCGCGTCGTTGGAGACGTTCTTTGAAGCGTCTGTGCAAAGCAACGAAGCGCTGGGGCGCTATGTTGCAACTCGTAGAGCTTACTCTGAGCAATGAAGTGCATTTATTTACCGGTTATACGCTGTTCTACGTGAACGGGCTTATTAATCCTCGCGTCCCGCTATCACCGCCATCCCATGGCTCAGGGATTGATGTGGGAGAACAGTCGAACGGCTAGCTGATGTCGACCCCCTCACTGTGCGTAAAGAAGTCGGAACTTCTTGTCTTCCAGACTGAGCGTCTTACGACACGTTTGCGATGCGATGGCTGTAGGATAAGACATGCATAAGGAATATGCAGATGGAAGAAGAAGAATTGTTGAAAGCATTGAGGTTGGAGACCTGGTTTTTATGAAATGCTAATAAATTCCTACACTTGCCGTTTCTGCTGTCGTTAAGACGAACCTCCGTCTACGGTTTATTGGACCTTTTGAGATTGTGGCGAAGCGAGGACTAGCGTATACATCGAGCCTTCCGAGAAGGATGCGCACGCCTGCGGTGTTTTATGTGGGTTTGCTTTGGCCGTACCGGGATCCGGAGCATGTGAACACGGAAGCGTTGGCGCCGGGGTGGCGTTCATAGGCGCTCGACCAACCAGAAGTTGGATATGCAACCAGTTTTGAGCACAGAATGAAAAGATTTTCGGTTCCAACGGCGCAAGGTGCTTAACCGTCAATTAACATATTCGTCTGCTCGACGGACAGGAGCCTTTCCGACAGAGCACGATAATTTTCAGCGTAAGGCAGTCGGTGCACAAAGTGCTCTATACTATTGAGGTTTTCCGCACAGAGGTAGGCGACCTTATCAAGATGCTCGGCAGAATGCCGCTGACGACGGACATTGCCCTCAAACGCTCGAGGGGCATCGCGAGTCACCGGGCCGCGATCGACCAACTGATATTCGTCTTTTGCCGTCCCTTCACTTGGAAAGCCTGGTGGGTCGACGTCGTCGACAGGGTCGAACCAATATCTTGTGAAGTGGCGGGGATACCCAAACTCCGAGAGCTCGTGGGAGTTTGAGGTACCACTACCCAGAAGTCGTGGACGCATATGATCGGAAGAATCATGACGCTTCGCGTCGTCGTGCGCACCGCGCTTCTCGGCAGAAGCCCAGGAAGTCTGAGGGACGTGAGCTGAGCTAAAGTTATGGCCCTAAGCTGAGCTCAAGCTATGACCCTGAGCTGCTGTGGTCGTAGACTCGCCCGTGTGAGAAACCACAGAGCTCGCGGGAGCGCTATGGATTGTTCCATACGTTGCGGGTGACAATACGCAGGAAGTCGGTGTTCGGTGTTGCGTCTTGAGTTTGGCAAACTCAGATCTAAGATGGCGCTCAACGCGCACATCCACTTTTTTGTGGCTTCGCTGTCATGCTTATCCACCTCTTAAAAGTCTCTTGGTAAGGTGGAGCGGGTCAATCCACAACTTTTGGGATATCTACCCGCATGACTGACTTTTGAATAAAGAATCCCAGACAAATCGTCACTGCCGATAAAAACTTGTCTATACCGGCGAAACGTTTGGTTTTCTGCTACACTCGGGCACTACTCGCAAGTGTTGAATGTGTTTGTCCACATTTGATTCCCCATGATATTTGACAAATTATATATTCTATATCGTCAAAATAGGTTTGTGAATAAGTCAGATACAGTCTTGTCAGCTGCGTCACTAGAGGGTTGAATGTCACCGAGTCTTTGTTGCATAACCAGCCACTTTCAGAGCATCTCACTCATATAGATGTTGTTAATGGAGCATCATTGTCTCTCATGAGCAGATACTCGTAGCCATCATCAAGATCAACATTTTTAAGTAGCTGCTCCCGATCATACAGTTTGCAATTCAATGATCTTTGGAAAAATTGGTGTTTAGACGGGTATGGTGGTTGCAAAAAGTATGTATCCATTAGTCGCTCTGAAATCGCACTGACGGAGATGTTTACCTACTCCACAAAAACCAATGCATGAGCTAATTCATGATTTGCACGAAAATGCATTGCATTGATAAAAAGACATCGTTCTTGTGACGAGGGCCATTTCCGTGTGACGCCGTCTTTGAATATCAAAAATAGATCAATCTCACGATGTACACCCTCGACCCGGGTCCAACACAACGAATATGTATTTCGCGAGCTGGTCGTGATTCTTTTCGTGCAAACATATTTTTTTGATAGGATCATGAAGATAGTTGTCCTATTACTCGTATTGAGGATGGCTGTGCACTGCGTGTCCTCGAGAGTGGGCTTATGCATGTCGAGCTCATCTTCATCATCTGCTCAATCGTATTTGTTCTGTTAACTCACCGCCTTGCAGCTGTTTGCATGCATCTCATCATAATAGTTCTCCAAGATAAATGGGAGATTTTGCCGCGGGAGGGAACCTTTAGCATGTAGGATCTAAATGTTCGAAGAAGTTAGCTTACTCGGTAAGTTCTTTCATGTGTGAATGATATCTCCCGCCGCTAGCCAACAGGCATTACTGTTTCACACAATGAAAGTTTTACACTGTTGTGCTGCCTCAACTGTACCCGTTGGTTTGGTTACAACGATAAGTTATGCTTAAAACCTTCAACACACGGCTTATTTTTCTTGCGTAAAAAGCGAACTCCACCATTGCTGACACAGGAGACCGCGATATACAGTCGCCACTCAGGACACCATCACACAGCCCATAGTTACTGTCTCGCAAGAGTTAGCTGCGACATACCGTCATACATCCTATCTCGGCGTATTTCACTATGGATGCGGCAATGGTATACCCCTATCTACTGTCATAACTTTAGACTACGGTTCACTGTCGCTTCTGCCTTCCAAGCATACTTAGATTCATCTTTGCTGGACAGTTAGAACATTAATTTCCAGCGTCAAAGCTATCACACAATTATTCCAGCGCCAAATGCTATCGTGATATATACCAGAGAGCGTCTTTGACTCATTAAAACTTCGCTAGGAGAGAAGTTTGTAACACCTAACCTTTCGACTTCCAGACGATACATGGCTCATAGAATTTAGGTCACACCATATCAAGGATGAGATTGTATCATATTTAGGTGCAGGATTCCCAGACAACGTTCCACTCTATCAAACACTCGAAATTTACTGGAAGGTAAACAGAATCTTCGTCTAGGCTATCGAACATTATACCCGTGATTGGGATCTCAAACGTCTCCACAGATGCTCTATTATACCCGTCTGTCGTACGTTAATCTAACCAAAGGACGCTCATGAATATATCAATACTCTCTACGTATTTACAAACTTCAAGACAGTGATGTTGACAACAATTCATTCTGGGCTCTGAGCTCAATCGCGACTTGTCTTCTTAGGTCATCGACCTCATTCACCACGAAGTATGACATAGTCTTTACTTTTTCAATTCACCGTCCTGAGCTTAGTAAGCTAAGAAAATAGGTGACACAACGGGTACGCAGAGCACAGTTCTTTAAATTTACAAAAGATGTGACACCCGCGGATACCAGCACGCTCATTGTCTGCTTAGAGACTTATCTCGTTCTCCTAAGCATTTCTGAGCTCAATTGCCCGTAGTGCGCTTGTTTAAGCATTCACATTTCATTAATCACCTGTCGTTCGCGGTGAGGAAGTCACACTCTGCATTTGATGCAATACAATACGTATCCTAGAAAGAGGTTAGGCGGACTTAAAGGGTATAGGTGGTTGCGAGGATCCTCCATGAATATGGTAAATGCTGACGCCTTCAAGATGGAGTCTACCACAATCGCGGTGATAAGAGCTCTCACCCTTGGATATTGTCCGTTTATACTTGCCTCCGTCAACTACTGAACATAATATTTGAGTACACCCGTGACGTCTCGTTAGGCGGTACTTACACTCGCGAAATCAGTCGTTCCGACACTTATCATGTCGGGAATGCCCCACATACAAATGTACTTATTCTCTCTCGTGCATCTTCCTAGCACGGGACTGCTTAAACACCACAATGTTGCTGCGTCAGATGCATGAACATATTCATGGCCATATTAAGTTATCTTGCCCAGAGAGAAATTTTTGCCCTCCTGAGTGGATGTTTGGAATAAGTAGTCTCACGTTGGGAGCCGGTTGTGCTTCCAACGGCGCCCTACTGAGGGTTTCTTGAGTTGTTTAACCAGCGAATTTTTCTAACAGGTGAACGCCATCAGGCAAGTAATTACCGTTCTTACCATTGTGCTGCCTATTGATATATCCCATTAGGACAAAAAAGACATAAGATCTCGCAATTTTGGAGGCAAATGCTAGAGTAACTCGTGTTCCGTTCTGATAGAGGATACACTGGGCAGTCGGATTCACGATAACTATTACCAAGTGCGACGGGGTTGCCGTGCAGGAATTGATGACTGTTGAATCCGCGTTAAGTAATGCATAGGATAGGATAGGATAGGATAGAGAACAAAAGCTGATCATGTAACCTTTTATTAATTCTATTTCAAGAGTGACGCATATTTAGAATATAACTATTTCGAAACAAATGAGTTTACAAAGCTCATTATGAATTCTTTGTGCACTATATGACGCGAGGCTTTCAGCCCTCGTGTCCTAAAAGCCTCTCTGTAACGAGATCTCATCATCCTGATCGTACCAGTACTGTGGTGTTTCTGAGTTTTGCTCGATTGCAGAAAAGCATTATATGCACCACAACGCGGAACTAAAGATCTCATTTGCCTGAGATACATCCTTCGTTTGAAAGGCGGCTAGAGAAAATGCTATTATTTTCATTATTAGTGGTTTCACGAGGATACTGAAACTGTTAGTTGGGGTAAGGAGTAGTGACATGACACAAAACTACTGCTCAACATAAAAATACTAAATTTGAATTGCTAGCTAGATGTTGTCGCTTTCTCGCTTTTACGTAAGCAAACCACATCTGGAAAGATGAGATATCGTGTACATAGCATCTGATATAGTTAGCAATGTAAATAAGACTCATTATTGTGGGAATATGACGCAATGCATGTTTAACAAAATCGCCACGTGGTACTAAGTGTGTGCGCAATATTGCGTGCCTTGCTCCGCGACTGCTGGCTGCTGTGACGAGTATATTATTAATATTTGACCTAAGTGAAAAATAGCTTCTTACAATCTCTCCATATGTGATGATATCCATATTGTATGCTATGCCTACCAGATGATTGATTGCGACATCTTTAGGTGTCGTACATATGCTGTAAGCCTATTTATACTTAGTTATGTTCGTCAGCCTCGGTCTTTTTGTTGTACATCCACCACATCCTCTACGCCTGTGTGCTATATTTTTATTTTGACATATGCACGACGAAAAGTTAAGATTGATTCAATAGCAGACGTCGAGATAAACGAAGATCGTTTTAAATTAGTTGTGAGATTTCGCAACAATGATATTAGTCAAGGTCAGAGCCATTGTCCAAATCCTGATGCAGTACATACATTGATGGCCTGGTGCTGTGCGGCGAGTCATATGACATAAACAAAGAATCAGACAAAGCCGGTTCGTCAACCATCCGGCTAAGTGGACACAAACGAAATTCCAAGAAGCTACTGGCAGTGCCATTGTCATCATGAGTATGTTGTTGATGAGATACTTCCTCGCCGCCAGATACCTCAGCCTCAGACGCAAAATTGGTAATGCGAGAACGCGACAACGATTTTGCGCTGCTGATACGTATTTTTGTGTGTAAACAAGACTGGCGCTGAACCCATTAGTCATTTCGTCAGCCGTTGACTCAGGAGTCGATCACGTAACGATGGTGGGAGCTGTGAGGTAGGGTGTTTCTAGATTGAACTGTAACTTGCATCATTCTCCGTCCTGAAAAGTACGTAATAAAATTGCGTTTCATTCTATTCATATCAATCTTTTAGTATCAATATATATATGCAGCCCTTGCTTGACGCCAATAAAGCTCGTCAATAATGTCAGATGGTGCTTGCCAGTAGACCTTCGAGCAAGACGAAGCCTATCCTTCACTTTCTCCCAAGGTGCTGTCAGTCCTTTTCGTCCCACTTAATCGAGGATCGGTCGTCCGACCGTCTGCTAGAATTCCCAGCTGGTGGTAGCAGCAGCAGGGCTCTACTCTCCGAAGCAGCCCAGCAGCAGTAGCAAGTACCGAGTTGCAGGTGCGGACAGTTCCGGCTCGACCAGCGTGATAGCTACCGACTTTGATCGTCTTCGCCCACGATCACCTCAGCTGCAAAGTCTGCAACCCTGCCTCACCCAACAGCCGTTGATAAGTAGAACCCGCTTCTTGCAATTTTGCGCGGTGACAATATCAGGTAGCGCGTAGTATCGGTTGAAAGTGTGCGCACTTTAGGCAAGCGCCGTCAAGCATACGGTGTATACAATAGTTGCCGTTAAACGATCGCACGGCATTAGCAAATCGTCCCCGGCTTGCGGAAACGATTGTGCGGCTTCTCCTTAACCCCCCAACACAGGAGACTCCACTGCCGAGCACGAACGCCAGAAGGGCAAAGGAAGCGCAAGACAACATAAAAACGAAGCAATAATCCTGGTCCTGTGGTGAGTGTATTTCCTACTGTAGTGCCTGACACTGCGACTGCCGAATTTGGCCAGGCTCCCCCTTAATCGAAAACGTGTCCATTTGGGGCCTCACTCTGGAATATTTTCAGTACTACTTCATAGGCTCCGTGTCACGCAACACGCGGCGTGAGTTAAGTTTGTTACCAACAGACCACCAACTGCTATTGCAGCTTGTTGACTGCCTCTGTCTCTTCGCGTGGTGTTTACCTGTATGATTTGTGAGACGCAAGTACCAAACTTTGAGTCACTCTTCAAGAATTTAAGGATGCACCAGCAACCCGAATACGACTATAACTACAACAATGAGTACAACCAGCCTCCTGGAGATGGCGCCTCGAGCAATCGTCTCTCGGTTCCAAGCATGCGCCCGACGCTCGATGCTCCTATTCATTACCATCCATCGCCGTTGCCACAGCAGTACATGCCGCAGCAGACATTTTATCAGACAAGCCGCACGCCTGTCGCCATCTCGCAATTCCCGTATGCTGAGTCTCTTCTGGAGCACAAGCCTGCTGCTGTATATCAGCAAGACTCGGACTACCGAATTCAGACCACACCACTGGATCGGATGTGTGATGTCTGTCAGTATCCAGACCCTGTTATCATAGCTCCGAACTGCAATCACACGTTTCATACGCGCTGCATTCACGTATGGCCGCTTGATGCTTGTCCAGCTTGCGCGGCACGTGTCGATCAAGTTGCCATTTCGCCCAATGTCAACATGATGGGGAGCCCTGAGTTACGCAGTGGCAAGTGGACCCGTCCTGAAGAGGAATTTATTGACGGCATTCTTTGTGAATTTGATAGACAAGCTTTACCCCTTGCACATGGGACACCCATTCGATTAGTGCTCGCTAAAATGCTAAATTGTTCGACAATGAGACTATCAAAGAAGTTTCAAAAGAATGCATTGGGAAAGCGAACTTGTAGGGTGAAAAAACCTAGTAAAGGCGAAAGAGCAGTCCGATTTGACCAGGTAGATCATGCACGAAGACAGTGCGAGCTTTCTCGACTGGAACACATTTTTCGACAGGAACTAGTTGACCAGTTTCGACGTGAAAACAACACAGACGAGGGCGCTTTGGTCGAGACACAACATTTGCGACTTGCAGTTCAGCAATTTTGGGTGAACAATTTCTTACGATTCGCCGTCCTAATTGGCCAGCCTGTGGTGGGACTGGACGTTTCCGACGCTAAGAAACGCAAACGCGCGATGCAGCTGCTTCGCAACGGACATTTTGACGAACTCTTGTCATGGCATCACCATCCGTCACCGGCCAACATGACTAGTATAACGCCCATACCACCGATCTTAAGTGCAACGTTGACAGAAAGTGGCATCACATCAGCAACATGGAGCTCCAATTTGCCTTTGCAGTCATCCTCTGTTCTCGGGCCGACTGTACCGTCTATTCCTGCACTTGTCCATCAACCAGAACAACAGCCACTGCGTCCTTTAAAAAAAATGCGGACCCCAGAGACAACCGTTGACTTGAGCCGCTATGGTCTACAGTCTGGTCGCCTGGATCACTCGCAGTATTCCCAGTATGGCCGCTACTCTCCATCACCAGCATCTTCAACGACCACATTTGAATTTAGTCAGCAACAGCAGCAATATTCGTCTGAGTCTTTTTTGCGTCCATCGGCTTTTCTACCCTACTCTGATGCTAAGTTGGAAAAATCCGATATGGGTTATGCTAATGTTTTGCAACACCAACACCAACACGAACAATTAATTCCAAGCCTTGTTGCCCATGAGGGTGCTGTCCATGATCAGAGGACTGAATTTACGCCGACGGCTTATCCACGAGCCCATGAATCTTATCACAACAATAATGGCACCAATCAGGCAGCATCATGGGACGATTTATTAGAGAATATGTCTACTGAGGCAAATGCTGGCACTAACGCACATGTGGCGCCTGCTAATCAAGTTCACACTGGTCATGCGAGCATACATTCTTGGTCCAATATGCACATGATGTAACAAAGGCCCCTTGTCTTTTTTGGAAAGACATCATAGTCTATTGAATGCGCCGAATAAAGCGCTCATAATTGTACAAAGTTGAAGTGTTTGTAACGTAATTAAGGTCATAAATTGAGGTCGCTAATACATGTAAATAAAGTTGCCTGCTCTTCTTACTTCATAGCAAACCCGCTCTATCCATATTGTCAAGGGCTGAAGGCGTTCGTGTAATAATTATAGGAATTGCCTTGACAGCCGCGAGTGCGCTCAATGAGAAGATGACACCGCCAGTACTGTATTGTCTATTAGATTGGTACCAAAAACTTGGCACGCTTGGAGCTAAATAAACGCAACCAATCACCGCTAAAACCATGCTCCAACAGAGAGGTGCATCGCTGCTGAGTGTGCGGTTGACGCGCTCAATGTCGCTGCTGGGCTCGATATTCGGCATCGGTGAATTTGAGGGATCCCGCAATACCGCATTGGTACGAAATATGAGCAAGCAACAGGCATATAAGTTGGCGCTGTTGGACGTACGTGATTTTGTATTTGTCGTATCAGCATGTCTACGTTTCTAATCAACAAACAGTATGTAAGTATGAACTCGCACCCGAAGTTCATGTTGCAAAATGTCCTAGAAAATGATGCGGCATTCCTCATGGGCCATGTATTGGTGGGCGCCAGTCAGTTCCTTTTCCCACTCATGCACCAGGACGCGCTCGAAGCAACAGCTAGACTTCAAGCTGCGACTCAGCTCGCCAAACAAGGTCACAACAAACAGCTTTAAATAATGAATGAGTGCTAAGATTTGTATGCAGAAAAGACGACGACGAACGAAACAATGCACGTGTTGGCGTTGGACGCAATGGTGCACGGTCGTCATTACGAAGCTGCAGCGGTGTACGAAACTATTTTGCTGCATGACCACACAGATTTACTTGCGCTGCGCTGTTGTTTTGATATTTATCGCTTTCTGAAGTGTGATTGAGACATAATAATCATGAAGCTGAGTGTCGGACATTGACTTCGGACATGTTGCTTGTGTGTTGTAGTGACGAAAAAAACATGCTTGCGACTGTGACACGTCGACTGCCATCTTGGTCACCAAGCGACTCTGGTTATAGTCTATTGCTGGGTATGCAAGCGTACGGACTGCAGGCTGCAGGACGGCTAGATGCAGCAGAAAATTTGGCAGAAAAGACGCTGTCCATGAATGGAAATGATCGTTGGGCGTGTGAGTAGTTTCTCATTTATGATATCGTGGCGTCATGAGAGATAATGATTTGCTTATAGTGCATACGATGCTGCACATTATCGAGGCTCGAGGTAATGCCAATCATGGAGCAAGTTACGCAAATCAATCCAAGGCAGCATTTGACAACGGTGGACCATTAGAGCCCCATCTCTATTTCCAGTGGGCATTATTTATGCTGGATTTGGGCCACTATGCCCGTGTTAACAAGATGCTAGAGATTAATATTCTTCCGTGTCACCCCGACGGTGCTCCTCATGCTGTGCCCACTCTATGCGATGCTACTCAACTTTACTGGAGACTTCGATTTGCTGGTCAGGATACCACAGAGTTAGGTGCACAACTATTTCGATATTGGACTGCAATAGCATCGAATACTGATGTGAACAAGGACGTCAGTGCACATTTCCACCCTCTGGCAAGGGTGCTTCAATATGTAAGCTTGTTACTGTTATCAGTATTTTATATCTCACGATAATTTTCGCCTTTAACAGAGTGTTTTAGCTTGCATACCATCTGGCGTTACGCCGCTGATAGAGCCACTAAGAGCTGAGCCTGCTGTTGACACTGATCGTCTCAATATCCAGCTTGGTCTGCCATCGGTCCAGTTCAGCTATCCTTCTGGTTCAAGTAAAGTTCATTTTTTGAATGTATCGCATATAAGGCTCACTAATGTACTCGTGGCGACGTTTTCAGAAAATCTGAGAAGAGTTTACGAAAGCGTGTGTCATGGCTTCCAAGCATATTCAGAGGTTCGGCATCATTGTGTGGTTGATCAGTAAGCTTGATAGCATCTGTTACTGTTGTAAACACAGGCTCGATATCAAGATGCAACTCAAATGCTGTTGCCTGTTCGTGGAAAGCTCAGATGTCTTGGTGGAACTGAAGTGGACCAAGACGTGGTTGACCAACTTCTGATCGAGTGGTACGCCTTCCATTTATACCTGGAAGGACGTGTTTAATTTTCACTTTTGCAAATTGCTGTTTAGTGCGAGCAAATGCGATGATCTGCGGCTCGCAAAGCTTCTTTTAAATGAACGGTACGGTTTAACACTTTCAAAGTATACTTGAGATCAGATTGCCAATTTTACATGTTTCGGATGTAGTTTGAGCGCAAGACCGCAAAGCGCTCAATGCTGGAAAACATGCTCACGAGTATTCGAGGCAATGGGAGATACTTCTGGCGTGCGTGATGCACAGGGCATGAGCTACGTTCTGGGACTCGGCCAGGGCGGCAACCAGACCTACTAATTAACAACAATATGTTCGAACATAGAATTCTGAAAAAACACTTGGTTCCTTTGTTTAGTTGTTCCATTCTATTGGTTTATTTGCTGTATTATTTCACGAATTATGGCTACCAAGCGAGTTTTGCGTGCGTGCAAATTACAAGGGCTATCGGTTCACGCCAACGCGCTCAAGCGAATTACTGAGGAACTCAACAAGTGCGTATGCAACTTGATCAATCTCGCTTTCTTTGATCTCTTTTCTTTACAAAGCTACAAAAGTGAAGCGAACTGTTGGCAGCAGCTCAAATTGATCTCTTTGATTTGACACTTTTACTTTAGTGATTCGTCGCTAGAGCTGGACGACATCATTTACGCCATTAAGAACAATATTGATCGTAGCAAATGTGCGTATGTGTATCGTGTATGTAAATTGATCATACACGTTAAACTGATGCGAGTTGTGTACTTAGTGACGTCGTCAGTAGTGACGCTTGAGGCTTTGGAGAGTGCATTAGACACGCTTTTGGCTGTGTCTGCTGAAAATGATTATGAAAGAATTCAAGTGTTTGGCGCCTTTGACACGCCAAAGCTGCACTATAACTACCACAACAACTTATACGAGCTGAAAGGAAACACTCATTTTGAACTCCATGCTGGCCCAGAGTCGAGAATTCAACTCCTCAGAAACCGATTTATGTCAATAGATCTCCGTGTCAAGCGAAATCGATTATTTGCGCCCCCATCAGCCGCGGTGGCGAATACGGCCGAGTACATAGAGGTGTGCGCTAAAAAACTGGAGTGGAACTTATATTGACTTGTAAAAATTGTGACTGTAGCTATCGCGAATTGAATCCTTATTAGGTACTAGTGGAGTACGACGTGTGATAGGCATGTTGGGTCAGGATGAACGCAAGCGCTATTACTTGGAGGATTTCACGTCGCGAATTGTCATTGACCTCTCGGATGCAACTTATACGGATGGTCTTTTTACCATCAATTGCGTGGTATTAGTTGAAGGTGAAGTTGTGGACGATGTGCTGCACGTTCAGGTAAATGTGAAGCTGACGATTCACTGCAGTTTTACGACTAAGCTAAAAAAAATCAATTGATGTTTAGTCAATGGGATTTCCACCTCCAGAGACCAAGCAAGCGTCTTTGGAAGTCTTAGGTGGTCTTGATCCCCTTGCTGTAGAAGTGTCAGCTGAACAATTGGAGCAGATTCGACATTTGGAAGCCAATGACCACCATGCTACTTTTATCGTACTGTCCAGTGTACATTTGGATGATCCACAAGTCATGAGCAAGCTGGACGTGCTCTTTCAAGGATTAAATACTATTCAGCCAACGCTCTTCATTCTAATGGGTGATTTTATGTCTACGTCAATCGGTCGAGGGGTGGGATCCAACTCGCTGCTGGATTTACGTGAGTATTTAGAAGAGTTCGGCAACCTCATTCTAAAATATTCTGGCATTGCCGAAAATTCGCGTTTTATTCTGGTCCCTGGGCCAAACGATCCAGGATCTTCACGTGCGTTTCCGCGTCACCCGGTAAATAAAAAATTGCTCATTGATGGCGCATGATTGTGACAGTATTACATCTTCATATTGCTTAAGCAGCTTCCTGATTTATGTACACGCGAGCTCATTCGCAAAGTACCAAATATCACTTGTAGTACCAATCCGTGCCGGATCCGCTACTACACTCAAGATATTGTCATTTTCCGCGACAATCTTCAACAAAAAATGCAGCGGCATGCTATCCTGCCCCATAGACCAAGTGAACATGAAAAAGCGGTGCCGAGTGAAGATGTTGAATCTGTCTGCTCCGTCTCTGAGATAGACATTTCCAAACATGTACGGCGACAGTCAATGTTTTCGAAATGATTGCGACTTATTTAAATATGATGTATATTCATGATTTCAGTTGGCTAAGACTCTCATCGACCAAGCACATTTGTGCCCCATGCAGCTGATGGTGAATCCAATACTATGGGACTTTGACTCCTCACTTCAACTTTTCCCGGTACCAGACATTTTGATCTTGGGTGATTCGACGGAGCAATTCCAGCTTGGCTATTCGTCTGTAGGTGTCTTTCATCCGGGACGCTTCCACACTGACCACTCGTTCGTGCTTTATCGCCCGAGCACAAATACTACCGAATTCAGTCGCGTGGAGTAGCTCAAACTATCAAAGCACCAAAATATGCGGACTTTTTGTCTTGGAGCGTTGCACTCAGAATGAATGTATACAGCACGATTGGACTGCATTCTTCCAATAAGACATAAAATGGCTAATCAAAAAGCGTTCGTTCAACGAAAGGAGGCCACAACAACCTACCTCCCAATGTCATGTGCAACCTCGTTGTACTGAAATTATCGGAAAGCATCCTGAGCAAACAGCACACACTTCCATCAAAACTTCCGAGAGGCGTGCTACTGAAAGTGAATCGAGTCACCAGCCCTCGTGACATGCATCACTGCAATTGCCGTCCACTCAATGCATAGTCCGCAAATTACCGCCGTCGCAATAAAAAAAATGCGAGGACGTTCACACTGCATTGTCTGAATTATTTTTGACATGTATTAATTCCGATGTATAGGTACGTATGATGATGATAGGACTCCGTGACGGTCAGTTGAAAGACTCGACAATAGACTGATTGACTACTGGTTAATGACTATATAAAGGCTTGGATGTTGCGGTAATGTTTCTTTTATTGTCGATGCGGTGGTTTAAGTAAAAGCTGATCCAAGGGCTGTAAATAAGCCTGTATATTTGGGAGTCGTGCACTCTCATGCTAATGGTCAAGGAGTTCGAGCGCCATCTGGACCGCATGAGTCATGCACGCATTGTCTTCCTGTCGGCGACCGCGCTAAAGGCTATAGCGCTCCTGCCGGTGAGCGCTTGGTACAGCAGCTTCCGGTTTGAGTACCGAAGGAGGTACGCTACAGGCGTCTCGACAAGATTCACATTTCTGTCTTTGATCAACCAGTTTTGCGGTAGCCATATCGGGTCGAGTCGTCGATCCATGCCACGCGATACTTGGACCCAGTCGCCATGGTCCTTTGATTATCGATGCAATCGATTTCTCCAGCTGGAGGGAGTATCATCGACTGGAGGGTACGCTTCACTGGCCGCATCGCTTCAAGCTGTTGGGCCAACGGGAGCAGCTCCATTTTCACATTGGTCGTGCTGGTTGCGGACAACATCCTTCACTTCCACCAGACACAATCCCTGAATGCTCAGGCCTCTTCCGGACTCTCATTCTGAATCCGCTCAGGGCTCATGGAAAAATCGAGCTCATAAACAATCATGCTGATTTACTACCCCGTAATATATTTTCAGCGGGGCTGCCGTAGCTTTGCGCTTTGAGGAAGCGAAAGTTAGGTCACCGACCTCTCGTTCCATACTCAGAACAAGTAAGAGCTTAGCGGTTCGCAATCCGCTTGCTCCAACAGTAATTATAGCCTTAACCCAAGGCTAATTAACTCTTCCGTTTAAATCCAAAACCGACTTTATTAATTTTTATCTGCGGCAAAGCCGCCTAATTTTAAATGG